GTGAAATAATATAAGATAAGATTCAACTAATGCTAATGAAATTGCAGACTTTTATGTGTTATTATTTAAAAAAATCTGCACAACCTTTTAATAAATATCAGTAATATTTCTGTTATTAATCAATATTCTGTGTTCATCATTCTGGTTTATCCAAGGCCAAAGATCCATAGTTGTCCATCTGAGGGGCAGGTGTCTAAAAAAAGTTAACCATGAAATGTTTAATATAGATAATATAGACATTCAGCCCTTAAACATTTGCACTTAGAATTTTATAGAATCACTTTAAGTACTTTTCAGTAAGTTAAATGTCAACAATTCTGGTTCACATAAAGAACTTTATGTTTATTAGATTGTTAACTAATTATTTTCGAGTTAATGTTGCCTTAATGAACAGTAATTTAAAAATAACCTGTAAAACTCTGATGTTAAATGTGACGTGGTTGAAAATTTGGGTGCACCTAACTTTTGKGCTGGTGCACCTAAGAAAAAATGTTAGGCACACCAGTACAACCACTGCAAAAAGTTAGTTTAGAGCCCTGCTTGATCAAAAAATAACACCAAAGTTCTTTACATTAGAACTGGAGGCCAGATTAATGCTATCCAGAGAAGGTGAAAGGCTGCAAAGTTGATCCCTAAGATGTTCAGGTCCAAAAACCATAAACTCTGTCTTATCTGAGTTTAGAGGCAGAAAGTTGAGTCATCCAAGTTTTTATGTCTGTAAGACATGCTTGTAGGTTAAGTAACTGGTCGGATTCATCAGGTTTCATGGATAGACATAACTATCATCAGCATAACAATGGAAATTTATCCCATGTTGTTTGATCACTTTACCTAATGGAAGCAAATATAAAGTAAAGAGGATTGGTCCAAGCACTGAACCCTGAGGAACTCCATGACTAACTCTGGTGTAAGAAGAAGATTCATTATTAACATTAACAAACTGAAATGTATCAGTTAAATAAGACTCAAACCATTTTAAAGCTGTTCCTGTAATCCCAATATCAAGTTCAAGTCTACGTAATAAAATATTGCGATCAATTGTATCAAATGCAGCACTGGAAACAGGAAAAGAATGGACACAAGTCCACTGTCTGAGGCCATGAGAATATCATTAGTAACTTTTACCAGTGCTGTTTCTGTGCTATGATGAGCTGTTTTTCACTATTGGAAGTAAGAACTGTAAATACTGATCAGAAATGATGACAGGACAGTCTCATGTAGCACTCTTGTGTTATTGATAAAAACAGAACATACATACTGAGGCTTACCTGACAGATAATCAGTAATCAAGGAGGCAGAAGATCCATTAACTTGACACCAATCCAAGCATGCAAGAATACACAGATCTCTATTAAACAGCTTCATTCAAATTATTTAGATACATTTTTTTGTAAAGATTTCAAATAAAAAGCCGCGACTGACAACTGGCTGAAAAATTAGTGAACAACTTACCAGTAAGTTTGTTCAACCATTTAATTAAGATAATAAAATTAAGTTTGGCCTGTGTTGTGATAGTCATTTTTATGTTTGCCTCAAAGACAACTTCACATTACGTTGTGATTGTTTCATTGATTCTCCTGCATGACCTTATTGATCCAGTCTACATAATTAGCAACTCTGGTATAGACTCCATATGTTCCCTTGTGTCCACATTTATCTCCCCAGCTGACAACTCCAGCAGCCCAAAATTGTCCGTCATCAGTCAAAGTGAAGGCACTTCCACTGTCACCTTTGCAAGAGTCCTTCTGCCCTTCAGGAAGTCCAGCACAGAACATGTTATCTGTCAGGTCTGGTAGGATGGGCCTATTTTTCTTTAACTCAGTGATTGAATTGCTGCATATCTCCTGATTCACCAGAGGAACAGCCACGTATTTCAGCTTATTTGTTAAAATATGGCGGCTGCCCTCACGGATAATACCAAAGCCAGAAATCTGCCTGAAAAACACAAAATAATCAACATTTTAAAAAATTAAACTCGTCACACATGAAGTTTGTTTACTTTACAAATCCAGGTAAAACATATGAAACAAAAAATATCAGTTCATCAAGGAAATTTTAAATTATAAATAATGTAAAATGGATTTAAAAGTAATATAATATAGATTACACTTTACCCCATCACTCCTGTGTCATATGTGGCAGTTTTTGGTGGCAAACATAAAGGCATAACAGCTGCATCGAATGTGATGGGGTCCTGCAGTTTGACCAATGCAATGTCGTTGTTGTAGTTTGAACCGTTCGGGTTGTGGTAGTCAGGGTGAACATGGATTGAGACAGGATGCAAAGGAAACGCTTCCATTCTGTGAACATCTGTGTCTCCCATGTAAATCTGCAAATCAGTTATATTAGAAGAATTAAATCTTGATGGAAGACCATAGAGTCACTTGACTCAACTTGCAGAAAATATTTAAAAAGAACTACTTACTTTTATTGAAGATATGGATACTTTGTGTCCATAATTCTCCAACACATGAGCTGCAGTCAGAATCCAGCGGTCTCCTATGACTGCACCTCCTCCCCTATTACCTGTATTTATAAGCACTTGCCATGGGATAGTATGTTTTGGAGCATCACTTCCTCCAACAATCCTCTGATAGTCATGGATTTGTTTTGTCGGTCGTCCACACACTGGATACGTTACAGATGTATAAACATAAATAATAAATAAAGATATGAAGTTGCAAATATGTAAAAATGTAAAGACAAAAAGTAATACCTGGAAGGCATATTGGACTGTTAATTTCCTGATGGTTGGATCTCCACTTTCTGTCTGATTCACACGTGAAGGTAGCTTAGGAGCAAAAACAAAATAAGACAGGTTGGGATTTTTTTCTTTCAACATCACTGAGTGACTTCTATATTGCATWTGATCTTACAACAATATGTGACCCATCAAATCGAAATGAGGATTAAGTCAAATTTGGTCAAAATGACTTAATCACATTTTCAGATTCCTGGCTTTAAAAGCTACATTTTGATACCTGGATCATTCTGATATCATAACTGGAACTAGAGATATGACTTGATTTGTCTTGTTGGTTACAATAATACATTAATATTTGGTCTGAATCCTATGTAAATTTTATGAGAAATTTTTCATTTCATTTTAAAGATGAAACCTCAGATAATATTTAAATATTGACATTTCCCAGCTGGAAAGAAACAAAAACTTTGCTAGCTCACAGGGAAAACCTCAAAATTTAAAGGCGTTTTTCCTCAAAATCAGTATTTTTGTTGCTTCTGCTCAAAAAAGTGGTTCAGAAATTTGTTTTATGATAATATTTCACACAGTTCATTCAAACATTGATAAGACATTTATTTCTTCGATTTTGAYGAAATGCAATTTTTGTAAGTGTTTTAATCAAAACACTATATTTGCCTATTCTCCATATTCCACTTTTAGACTTAAAACTCGTTTCGATGTGACAGGTCACAAATAGCAGAAAATGTTATTTGTATTTCTTCGTAATTTTGGCAGTTTTATTTTTTAGATAATACAAAATGATTTAGTAACGTATTTAAAAAAAACTAGCATTTTTTAAAAGAGTGTACAGGATTTCTGCCGAATAATTGTATCTGGAAAAAAAACAGTTTTAACTTATTTGGTTAAATATTGATCTAAATATTGATGATAGTATTCACAATATTTATTGAAATTAACTCTCAGACTACATTAGATTTTCACTCAGTGTCTATAGAATTGACTAAATCATAGCCAATTATTTTCTTTTCTAAGGCCGATTTAGCTGTGGTGATCATCTTGAACTGTGTTGGCTTCAAAAGTTTATCAGCTTGGAAATTAGTTTTGTGGTTCATGAGATTTTTCGTACCAAAGGTTTAAACAAAAATCCTAACACTCAGGAGTATATGGTTGGTATGTTAATTTCATTTCATTTCATTTATTTTTAGCTACTACAGCACCACATCATATTTTAACTCAGTATCTGTAAAACTTAGTTACGGCTATTGTTTTTGGCTAAGATTGATTAGCTGTGGCAGCCATCTAACAGCAGGTTAGATTCAAAATTTAACCAGTTTTTGTGATGCAATTTCATTAAAACTTGTCCAATTTGCAAAGAGATATTTTGCTAACAGACATACATACAAACACATCCACACACAAATTTGTATCTCTATTGTTATTACGACATTGTGACTTCCATTCATTTCTATGGTCTGACTCTAACTTTACATCTTAGCCCCAAACCTAACCCAAAAAGACATTTGACAATTTTAAGACCAAGCTGTGGTCTATAAAAGAACTATCAATCCTGACAAGATTGGTGAGTATACCAGGAAACATCCTGGGCAATATTAGAAACTCCTAATTGAAACTAACTTAGATCTTACCATTTATGCCACCAGGTGAAGTGTAAAACGGTTCATTACAGTGATACTTCACAACAGAGAGATACTGGTTCCTAAAGTCAGACTGGAAAGTCACTCCTCCATTCAGCAAAGGTTCAGGTTCACCACAGTCGATTACTACAAAAGAGCAGAAAATTATGTCAGTTCTTAGCAACACACAGGAAAGGATTATATTTTCTGTGTCCTTTTTGACTCCGCTAACATACTGTGGCATTCAGGCAAAGGGAGGTGCCATTTTCCATTGCTTTGGCATATAGTGGAGAAGCTCTTAATTTCTTGATTGTCCTGACCAAAAAGTAAATAGAAAGACACAGATTTTATGCAACAAATACTCTCATTTTAAAATAACAACCAAAAAATGGGTTTAAACTTACAACCATCAGCTTGTACCCTTGATCACAGCGCACATAGATGTGGTCTCTGTAGAAGTATTCAGTCTGAGAAGGAGTGACCTTACCATTAACAACATTACTGGGAGCTGGACACTTCACTCCTAGGAACCCAGTAAACAAGATGTGATCAGCTGAAAATTTGATTTTCATTTACAGCATAATAATGTATAGAGACTTTGGTCCTCTCACTGTCTGTCCTGTAGTCCAGGCTCCATCCGTTGCTCAGTCCATGATCATCAGTGTGGAAGTTCAGCGTGATAGTGTTGGAGTTTGTTTTTATCAGTCCTGGGCTTGTTCCACCACACAGCATCACAGACTCTTGGTCTGATACGATCACCTTTTACAATTGTTTAGTTCACTTTTAAATAATATACATTTAAGAGATGTTTACCTCTGTTTATCTTATTAAAAACTGGTAAAGTTGCATGATTTTACCTCCAGCCAATGAAAGAGGCATTTCGGACCTTCCTCGGTGACCACACTCTCAATGTGGAAATTATCAGAGAAGTTAAGAGAGATGGTGTAGCCAGATTCTACAGAAATTATATACTGACAGGACATGGCATTAGCTTGGGGGTTTGGGTAACCCGGACTGAACAGATGTCCTTCTGGTTCATCAAATATACCCCCACCACAGGACACTGGACACAGGGAAAGTATAATCCTTAAGTAAAGATTTGTAATTCAGAAGTAMTGTATCTGCATCAAACTGTGTCAAACTCACAGGTGCAGGAACGCTGGTCAGAGCGTAGCTCATAACCATGGTGACAGGAGCAGAGATATGACCCCAGTGTGTTGAGGCAGATCTGAGAGCAGAGTGGACCAGATCCGTCTTCAGGCTCTGGCGCAGAGCATTCATCTATGTCTAATGATGAGAATGTCTCTGAGTTAGCAGGATCGTTAGTCAGTTGTGGAGACAGGAAGCGACAAAAAACACGGCAGAGACAGGAGCACCTATTGCCTGGTACTGAAGGGAGAATCCCACGTTCTGGTGACGCTCCGGGTTGTAGTGGTCTGTTTGGAAAATGAGGGTGACTGTGTTTCCTGGAGTCAAAATGGGCTGATAGCCTGGGTGGAGCCCATCAGCAGAGTTCTCAATGCCACAGAACTTCCAGAGCAGCTTTTCACCATAAAGCACCTGACATAAAAGAAAGGAAGAGAAACTAAACATGGTAGTTTAAAAAATCCAAATCCAGACTGAAAATAATTGATCATAGTTGTGAATTGGAAAACATGTTTGCTGATATAAATCTGCAATTTCCACAAATTTCTTTGTTCATAGAAGGAAACGATATTTATGGCTCTGGATTTTGAACCAGATTTATTGCTGGAAAGAAACTAAAAGCAGATTAATTGTCCATGTACAACAAAATGTGAACAATAAGGCTAAAAACAAAATAATAAAATGATAGCAAGAAAAAAAGTCCCTAAAAATAACATGGTACTTAACACCATCAGAGGTTAATAAACTTGGAAGTTTCTGAAATGTCTCAGCTTAAGGAATATTGGACCTGAAACTAAAGATGTGCACTTGAAACATTAGACAAGTTTCAAATTATCAGCAACTGATCAAGTATTTTAGTGTAGGTTTTATTATAAGCAAGTAGTAAATTAAACTGTTTGAATTGAATTAAACTGAGCTCATAGTCATCTGTTAGCTGTTAAACTGATAGCTTTTTATTAGCAATGGAAATGAAAAATTCTGAAGCAATTTTATTATTCTGAGGGTCACTCACAATTGTCTGTACCATAAAGTCAACAACAGCAACAAGGTTAATTTGTGGTTATTATGAACTATGTTGTCAAAATGGAGTAAAAATTTTTGTTTTTAAGATTTTGTTTATATTATCTAAATAAAGCAGAACAATCCTGGTCTATTGTTCAGGTTAATACTGTGTAATGTAAATATGGCTCTGACTGTAAGTGAGTCATAAGAGCAGCCAGCTGAAGCCTCGATGTCCAGATGTGTGAAAGTTAGTCGGATCTGGAAACCCTCTGGTACGCTGAGGTCCCACTGCTCCAGCAGGTTCGGGGGATACGGCTCGGGATACTGGGGGGATTGGACCTGCCCGTGCATGGGAAGGTCCGAGTCAGGCAGCGGGAGGCCCTCGCATGCCAACACATACAGAAACCTGGAGAGGTGCAGGAACAGAGATCGATCTGTTTATAAGTCTGTTGTCGTCTGAGCTGCAGGTCCAAAGTTGATTCAAACAGAAAAGAACAAACAATGACACGATCACAGTGTTGAAGCTACTTTATAGTTTTAGGACATTGTTTATGTCTGTCTATAAAGGAAACATCAACCTTTTAAAACATCCTCACCACAATATTCTACTGTACATCATTATAAAAAGCACTACAGAAGAAGACATTCTCCAGGTGCTAGCAGATATTTACAGTGGCTTTTAGAATCAAAACACAAAGTTGTGTTAGAAAATGAAATCCTACATAAACAGATTAAAAATCTAAACAAAACTCACCAGACAGTAAAAGCAATCCACCCCATCCTGGGATTATCCATGAGTGAACTAATCCGTCTGTGTAGAAGCAAAAGTCTGACAAACAAGTAAAACATTAATGTCCTAATGGCTGTCGTTTCAAGTGTTTAGCAACTCATCGCGTTATTGCCAGGAATATGTTTTGTTTGTCTTGGCAAAATCAAAGAACATCCTTGACTTTGAACAGCAGAAATACAGCAAAGGGGGGAAATTGTGAACATTTTTGAACGAGACAACAAAAATTGACATATGAAGTCATTATTTACAATTTATTCATGTAACTGAAAAAAAAAATATTTTCAGTTTTGCCCTTCTTATTTTTAGATTAGTTATTTTACCAACTGTTATAATTAATTCAACCACTAGATGGCTGTATTTATATTTTTCTAGTATCGTCATGGTCACATCACTCGACTGTTTCACTTCTGACGAGATCAAGCAACCTAGTTTTAAAAGTTCTGGGTGTCCAAACAATAGGTGAATCAACTCATTAATAAAAACAATAATAATAAATATAAATACTTGTACTAATATTGTTTTAATGACTTTGTGTAAGTGTCTTTTTGTTCGCCGTTTTGCTTCTATTTAAATTGAAACTACATTTCCTACTATCTCGAGACTTCCGGAACTTCAACAGGAAGTGTTCCCGTGGTTTCTAGTTAGAATTAATTAATTAGAATTAATTAACTAATTAATTGGTTAATTGGTTAATATAAGTTTTTTTGTGTCGGCCTAACTTCGTAAAAAGACATTTGAGGTAAACCCATGGAGGTATATATAACAACAGGGTTCTTATTCAAGTCTATGGGTAAAGCTTCAAATTTTCTGCCATCTTTTTAAATATTTTATATCAAGTTTTTCCATGCATAAAGATTTAAAATAAACACACTTGTTGTAGTGTAAGTTTACAACAGATTTTATACTTTTATTCTCTTTACACTTACACTGAAGTGACTTCTGTGTTTATAGTATTCCTGAAAACCTGTACTTTATWAATGTTTCATGTTGCTGGTAAACTGTGTCCTTGACAGTATACTGAAATTAAAACTATTTTATTATGCCAAGAATAAAATAGTACAGTTGCAATATACAGTGTATATATA